GTGTGAATCTTTAAAAACATTAAAAACCTTTAAAACCTTTGAACCGTGTGAATCTTTAAAAACATTAAAAACCTTTAAAACCTTTGAACCGTGTGAATCTTTAAAAACGTTAAAAACCTTTCAGACCTTTGAACCGTGTGAATCTTTAAAAACATTAAAAACCTTTCAAACCTTTGAACCGTGTGAATCTTTGCTCTCAGACGTGGTGGTGGTGGACAGCAGAAGTGAAGCTCAGACGGAGCAGCAGCAGCTGAAGGATGAGGAAGAGGAGAAGAAGAAGATGAGTAAAGGCCTCCTGCTCTGTGTTTGTTACGCTGCCAGCATCGGAGGAATCGCCACGCTGACGGGAACCGGGCCGAACCTGGTTCTGATGGGCCAGATGAGCCAGTAAGAATGGGTCCGTCTGTGTTCTGTGTTGGTTCTGGTCTCTGAAGTGAAATGGGTTTTTCTCAGACTCTTCCCTCAGAACGGAGACGTCATCAACTTCGCCTCCTGGTTCGTGTTCGCCTTCCCRGCCATGGTTCTGATGCTGACCCTGGCCTGGTTCTGGTTGCAGTTCCTCTACATCGGCTGCAAGTGAGTCTCCAAAACCCCCGAACAAATGTCCCGGGTCGGCTCGGACCGTCCTGACTGGACCGGTCTTGTTTGTCTTCTGCTGCAGCCTGAGGAGGACCTGGGGCTGCGGGTCGGCCCGGGCCCAGAAGGAGAAGGCGGCGTACGAGGTGATGAGGGCCGAGTACCGGCGGATGGGCTCCATGAGCTACGGCGAGGCCAGCGTCCTGACGCTCTTCATCCTGATGGTGGCGCTGTGGTTCACCAGAGACCCTCGCTTCATGGAGGGCTGGGCCAGCAACGTCTTCAACGCCACGGCAGAGTGAGTCCACAGACCGGACCGGGTCTGGTTCTGAWACAGAGGATGGGTTCTAGAGTCTGGTTATTTATGGAGAGAAGTTCTGGTTCTGAACAAACGGATCCCTTTTAGAACCGTCTTCATGGTTCTGGAGGAGAACATTGGACTTTAGGCTCGTAGAACTCGGGCCCTCCAGTCTAGAGTTTTGTGGATTTGGACTCGGTTTATGACCGGGTTCTTTGAGACTTCCTGTAGCAGGTGTTTGGGTCACTTCAAAGGACTAACCGGTCCTTGTAGAACCAGATCCAGAACTCAGTCCAGCTTGTTCTTAGTGCTAGCTGGACTCCACCAGGACTGAGAGAGTTCCAGGTTCTGACTGGACTCTTTTTATGACAGAACTTTAGTCAGGATCTGYTCTCTAACAGAACCTCTTCTTGGATCCAACAGGATGGTTCTGGGTTCTGGTCCTGGATCAGTTTAAAACAGGCAGAAAAAAACTGAATGACGGCCTCTCGTCGGGTCAAAGACCCAGAACAAACAGGAACCAGAGGCGAAGAACAAACAGAAATGTGTTCAGAACACAGCCAACCGGGCCTGACCCGCGGTGCGGAGATCAGCTGCACGCTGTTCAGGAATGTGGGTCAAAGGTCACATTCCAGAACCGCCAGGAGAACCGGGTCAGAGAAGAACCTCAGAGTTTCACTTTAACATCAGATCCTTGAGTTTTTAACAAACAAAATCTGGATTAAATGAAGTTTGACATCATCGGATCTTTTCCTGGTCAAACTAACATGAACCCAACAGGAGGTTCTGTTCTGGAAACAGACCCGGTCCAAAATCCAACGTGTCTCCTCAGGTCAGGGTCAAAGGTCAGGCAGCAGCAGTCAAACAAACAGGTCAAAGTTCACCAACCGCCTGAAAAACAACGAGAACGTGTGGAAAAATACACCTGAGAGAGACAGGAAGCACTTCAAAATAAAACAGGAAGTCTCAAACTAA